TGACGGTCGCCTATTCAGAGGGTTTTGTACAGATTTCAAGATTGAATTCTACAACTCCACACCGGCTTACTCACAATCCAACGGTCAAGCCGAGGCGTCGAACAAGACCATTCTTGACGGGCTGAAGAAACGGCTGGAGAAGGTGAAGGGAAAGTGGGCTGAGGAACTCTCCAGCGTCCTCTGAGCATACTGTACAACCCCTCGGAGGTCGACTGGGGAAACTCCATTTGCTTTGGCTTATGGCATGGAGGCGGTCAGTCCATTGGAAGTTGGCATGCCCACTCTCAGAAGTGAAAGTTTTGAGCCCGAGTTAAACACCGAGGCCATTGCTCTGGAATTAGATCTGGTGGAAGAGCGCCGGGAAAAGGCTCTTATCCATGTGGCCGCCTACCAGCAAGAGCTCTCCCAGAAGTACAACAAGACGGTGCACCCTAGACCGTTCAAGGTGGGTGATTGGGTCTTGAGGAAAGTTATGGGCAATACCCTGGTGCCAAGTGAAGGCAAACTAGGGCAAATTGGGAAGGACCCTACAAGATAACCGGTCTGGCGGGCAAGGAGACATATCACTTGGAGGACTTGGATGGTAGAGGCATACCCCAACATGGAATGCAGCCAATCTCAAGCTGTATTATTTCTAGCTTTAGCTTTTATTTTGTGCAAAGGAAATTTTTGCCTTACACTTCATGTAATATTCATTTTTGTCAATATATAGAAGCAACTCATCTTTGCCTCAGCATTTTTAATGTTGCTTTGAGTTTTGAGATTCTCAACCGAGATGATTATTCAGAGGGTTTTGTGCAGATTTGAAGATTGAATTCTACAACTCCACACCGGCTTACCCACAATCCAACGGTCAAGCCGAGGCATCGAACAAGACCATTCTTGACGGGCTGAAGAAACGGCTGGAGAAGGTGAAGGGAAAGTGGGCTGAGGAACTCTCCAGCGTCCTCTGAGCATACCGTACAACCCCTCGGAGGTCGACTGGGGAAACTCCATTTGCTTTGGCTTATGGCATGGAGGCGGTCATTCCATTGGAAGTTGGCATGCCCACTCTCAGAAGTGAAAGTTTTGAGCCCGAGTTGAACACCGAGGCCATTGCTCTGGAATTGGATCTGGTGGAAAAGCGCCGGGAAAAGGCTCTTATCCATGTGGCCGCCTACCAGCAAGAGCTCTCCCGGAAGTACAACAAGACGGTGCACCCCAGACCGTTCAAGGTGGGTGATTGGGTCTTGAGGAAAGTTATGGGCAATACCCTGGTGTTAGGAGAAGGCAAGCTAAGTGCAAATTGGGAAGGACCCTACAAGGTAACCGGTCTGGCGGGCAAGGGGGCATACCACTTGGAGGATTTGGATGGTAGAGCAATCCCGCGGCCATGGAATGCGGCCAATCTCAAACTGTACTATTTCTAGCTTTTGTTGTCTTTTTGGGCAAAGGAATTTTTTGCCTTACACTTCAGAATGTAATTCTTTTTGTCAATATATAGAAGTGTTTTCTTTGCCTTGGCATTTTGATTGATTGCTTTGAATACTTGAGATTCCAACCGAGATGAGTTACTCCGATTGAAGGAGTCGATGGTTTGTTCGACTCAGAGATTCCAACTGGGATGAGTTACTCCGGTTGAAGGAGTTGATGGTTTGTTCGACTCAGAGATGCCAACCGAGATGAGTTACTCCGGTTGAAGGAGTTGATGGTTTGTTCGAATCGGAGATTCCAACCGAGATGAGTTACTCCGGTTGAAGGAGTTGATGGTTTGTTCAACTCAGAGATTCCAACCGAGATGAGTTACTCCGGTTGAAGGAGTTGATGGTTTCAACTCAAGGATTCTAACCGAGATAAGTTACTCCGGTTGAAGGAGTTAATGGTTTGTTCGACTCAGAGATTCCAACCGAGATGCCCTACTCCGGTTGAGAGAGTTGATGTTTTGTTCAATTCTATCAGAATTAAAACCGAGATGGTGTATTCCAGTTATACAAGATGTTTTGTTCAGTTCAGGCATGCTCAACCATGATGGTTTAGTCCGGTGTTGAAGTTACTCAGCTCTAGGACCGCGTAAACACTTGGTGAAACTAGATCTTTTTCATTAATGAAAAAAAAAAGTATAAAAGGAGGGGTAGAGAGCCCGGTTACATGTGCAAAGCAAAAAAAAAAAAAAGCAATAGAAAAAAAGAAAACTAAGCTAAGGGGGAGAGATTGGTGAATTCATCATTCGGAGTTGTCTCCAAGTTTACTGCGGGAGATCGGTCTTCAACACCGGGCTCAGTTCGGTCGGGCTGCTCCTGTTCTGGTTGCTCCTCTCCGTCAGTATCTTCCCCGGCCTCTTCCTCTTCAAGCCCTTCCTCGGCCTCAGCCTGCAATGCACTGAAGACGTCATTGGCATATGGAACGAGGTAGGCCGGCAGGGAAGCAGGCGGCGGGGTGGCAAAGACGTCAGTATCAGGACCCTGACCGAGATGCTCGCAGGCAGACTTCCAACCCGCTTTGAAATAGATGTCTTGGGTAGCGAAGACCTGCTTCTTGTAGCTTTCCTCGGTTTCTAGGAAGCCGACGTTGTTTGCATCTCGGCAGTCCTTCTTCCTTGACTTTTTCAGAGCGTCCAGCTCGGCCTGGAGCTCATCACGCTTCTTTTCGGCCTCGTCAAGCTGACCGTGAAACCTGTTGTTGTCAGCATTGGCGATTTGGAGAGATGCTTTTGCCCGGCCAAGCTCGACTTGGAGGCTCTGGACTTGGCTGGCTGTGTCATTTGCCTTTTGCCGAAGTTTGTGGATGTGTTCCATTACCAGATGCTGCTTTTGGATAGCCTGTAAGGAACGAATTTGATTAGTGAAGGAACCGGGCAAACACTTGTAAAATTTCAGTAAAAGTTGGATCCTTACCCTGGTCATGGATTTCACTGTTGATTTCACCAACCGGGTGTTAGGGACGTGATCGCTGCCAACCACGTCACTTGGCAACAAGAGAGCTTTTGAGAGGTCAAAGGCCAACAAGTGCTCCTTATTGCCCTTGACAGAAGCATTTGTCGGGATATCTTGGCCCCAGTGCTTGAGCTGCGACAGCCATAGTGGAATGGGATCAGCAGTGTTGGTGGGCTGCTCGGTTGTTAGCTCGGCAACCAGCTCGGCAGTTGGATCTACGCGAGGTCTTTTGCCTGCCCGGCGGGGTTGGCTGGATTGCCCGGCAGCTGGAGATGCCAGGACAACCACAGGGCTGCTGGATTGACCAGCAGCATGAAACGGGAGAGTAATGCTTGGTATTTCAGCGGATGTGGCTGTGAGGAGATTCTTGATGCGGCTTCTTTTAGCCATCTCTTGTTCCTCGGTCAGCCGGATTAGCGAAACGTCTGGCAGATTTGGGTCTGGAGGAGGAGTTGGAGCGCGGAGAAAGTCTGTAAGTTTACTCCGACGTGGAGCTGAGTATCTGTAGGTTGGAGTGTAACCGAGCAGCTCGTTGCAATCTCAGTGGCGATAGCGGAGCACGGTCCGAATTGCCTCTATGTTGGGAAATTGGTAGTTGGCTTGCAAGGCTTGGATTGCTGCAAAAGAAACAAGAAAACTGGTTAATTATAGAATAAAGAAGGTAGGCTGACCGAGCAAGTTTGAGTGGCTTACATGAGGAACCGAAGTTCTTGCTTATAAACCAGCCCGGTACGTCGGCTGTTTCGTAATTGCCCGACACCCAGAAAAAATCATCGTCGTGCAAGTCTTTATCCGGAGTGCTGGTTACAATTTTCTCCTTGCCCGGTCTGATTTTTAAATAATAGGCTAGGTCGTCACCGATGTGACCCATCGTGTATTGCCTTAATATCTCGGCTAAACCTAAGTTGGTGCCTAGCCGGTTGTTCAGTTCATGGACGCCGTTGATAATTCGGTAAGTGTTGGTGGACACTTGTGTGGGTGCCAGCCCGGTGCGGCGGAGGAACTCGGTGATAAGTGGGTTGAGTGGGAAGCGGAGGCCTCCTTCGATGATAGATAGCACGGTAAAGGGGCATTGTTCTGATCTGCCCCAAGGCGTTGTTTGCTCTTCTGCAAGCTCAAGGTGGACGTCGGCCGGGATGCCGTACTCCTCCCTGAACACGGCCAAGGCAGCCGGAGTATCTACGCAACTTAGTGATTTAAATCGAGATGTTTTGCTGAAGATAGAGTTCGAGAAAACCGTGCAACTACTTGATGAAATTAAAACTTTTCATTGATAGAAAGTTAATACAAAAGGAGGGGCAGAGAGCCCGGTTACATGTGCAAAGCAAAAAAAGCAATAGAAAAAAGAAAACTAAGCTAAGGGGGAGAGATTGGTGAATTCATCATCCGGAGTTGTCT